CCCGCAAAAGTGTCATCGACATATCTGTACCAGTATAGTGGGGGATGAAGCGCAGAATGTATGGCTTATGTTTCGATTTTGGTCATGAATATATTGGCAAGAACGGGCGAAACAGGATTGCCCATACTTAAACTGTCTATTTGAAGGAAATGTTCGTTGTTGAAAATGAAGTTGGTTTTAGTCGTTGTAAATTCTAAGAGAGAAGCAAAAAGTGTGCTGGGGATGTGCATTAACTTGTTGGGGTCATTAATGTAGAGGTTGAGTGCAATATTGCAAGCTTCATTGGCGGGGACTTCGATGAAGAGTGACACGACATCAAAACTGGCCATTGAGGCTTTCGAATTTAATCCTCGTCATCGAAAAAGGCAGACTGTTCTAAGTCAAGGTTTTCTATGGCTTTACATTTTTTTTAACCATCACTCTTAAGTCAGTTTTATATGTTGACAAATTATCATACTTTAGTATATATAAGAGTTAATATGTATATATAGCTATTACTAAATAAATCTCAACAAATTCTAAATTAAATTATTGCAAAAAATCTTAAAAAATACTAACACACCATAAAGTTTAAGCTACAATATTGAAAAAATACTTTGAAGTTCCACATTTTCCTTTAAACTTATCCAGACCAGTGAGCACCTTTAAGGTGTTGAGAGCACACCTACATAACAAATTTCAAAAATCAAGTAAACAATAATAATTCTAGCTCTATTTCAACAATTTTTAATTCAAAAAATTTCACAACTGATATCATATTATCTTATAACACTTATTTGGTGTAATTCCACAGCACCACCATCTTACCAGCTGACAAGTGCAATCAAACTGTGTTACTAGTCCAGAGTAACTATGATTAAACATTACAGGTCATAACTGAAGGTGAGAATTACCAAAAGCTTCAACAGGATGCCACACACAAACCAATCACTTAGTGTACACACACATCTCTACTGTATATGGCCCACCCAAGATATACAAGCCTGATACTTCACTTAATCAATCATTAGTGCTGTACATTCAATTTGCTACCAACTAACCTATTACCATGTCCCTATCCTGACTCCTTTACAAAGTAATGGTTTAAGTGACAAACTCAACAAGTTTAGTCTCAGAACTTATAAATTTCTATACAACTAAAAGATATTCTTATCAGTTTGAATGTTCTCAACATATACAAACTCCACAATTTTTGTTTGAGAACTTAAAAATTTCTATCCAACTAAAAGACATTTTTATTAGTTTGAATGTTACCAATATATTTATCAATATAGTAGTTCTTACTCTCTCCCAATATTGACAGTATTCAAACAAGAATAAGAAACACATCTGCACTTAAACCTTTAAACCTGTTGATTCTATTATGTTTTATCATTATCAATTTTTTACTTAACAACTGCTTTTATGGACAGATCAATGGTCTAGCCAAGAGCTCCCCCCACCTTTGTACCTGCAACATCTTATATCTAAATTCAAATCACAATATACAGAATCAGCAAAACCAAATAAATAATCCTAGAAATGTTAAATATACGACACCACCATCTGACATACAACCACTACACAAGTGATGATTTTCTCAATATTTTAAATTTTCAGAGCAGCAACACTCAGTTTATTGCTTATATTGAGTCAAATTGTCAACTGCCATTTCTAGACATCTTAACACATCACCACAAAAAACATCTTTTCATGAAATAGTGGTCTTACTAGATTTTTTTGTCCATGTGTTCCAAAAACTTTGCATTCCAGCCTTTCAGGGCTTGTGAACAAAATCTTAACATTTTGCCAAGATAAACATTTTATCATGTAAACATGATTATACAGAACTCCATGACATTTTGGCTTGAATATACATGCTGCCAAAATGAGGTTACCCTGAACATTAACATTTATCTAAACTGAAAATGTATTTCCAATAGATACTTACCACCACTCAACAAATAGTTTTTCTTCACAAATACTGCCCTCTATATGTGGATATTTACACTCGCCACTAGCCTTGATACTCCCAACTACTCTCACGTGAGACATCTGCATGTTATCATGCAAATGATCGGGCAGCAACTCTCCACTAATAGGAGTGCAACACAACTCCTATCGTCATGATCGCCCTCTGTTCAATGCAGCCCAAAATCACTTCAAGATTGGGCAGTACGTACAAAACTGACACCGGAAGTGGTGAAGATGGGTGGAAAATATGAGAATAGGTAAGTATCTATTGGAAATACATTTTCAATTTAGAAAAATGTTAACTTCTGATACGATATATCTTTCCTCCACTCACAAATAGCTAGAATCCCACACTGAATTGGGGGAGGGTTGGGTGAGAAAAAATATACCCTTCAGAAAGCTCACAAAGGAAGACCATGGGGATTGTGAAAAAACAGAAGGCAACACCCTCCATGAGAGACTGCACGACTTCTGAACAAGGTATACTCTTTGCCCTCGTGAAATTGTGTCGCAATAAGGAAGGACCTCCCCAGCTTAATCATGTGTTCACATCCAACACCATCACCATATCTATTGGGAACTGACATCTGGTGGATGGTACGAAGGTGGACAGCAAAGTGAGGGGGCATCTCCAGTCCATCACCATGTGGCACTGGGAATGTATCATCCAGCCTGTGTTAAGATGATGGTACCCAGCCATACACGTGTGAAATTAAGGGACCCTAGATGCAGAATGGCTAGGGCGTGTAGGACCATAAACAGGACATAACCACTACCAACACCAGGACATCCAGCCACAGTAGGAAGACG